GAATAATATAAATTTATATAATATTTTAAGTGGGTTGAAAACGGGTTGAAAACAGGTTGAAAATGGGTCAAAAAGTTCAACCCAACCCAACCCAATTATTTAGATGGGTTAGACGGGTTGACCCATTTATTTAAATGGGTTGAAAATCTCAACCCAACCTGCTAATTATGGGTTGGGTTAATGGGTTGGGTCATTTTTTGTCACCCCTAATTTAGGCATTCACATGCATAATGCCTAGACTTAAACTGTTTCATTGCATATTAGGGTCCCAGACATAGTTAGCACCTTTGGAATAAATATGATAAGTTAAGAGATCAGTGTGTAAAGTATTTCCGGATTACATCTGGCCAATGTAATTTTGAATCTACAGGTACATAACTGAACATGGAAACTTTATTATATTTGGGAATGTGAAAATATGTTTATTAAAATTCTGAAATCCGTAGATGACAAGCAGATCTAGAAGGTCGGAAAGGATCACCCGCCCTAACCCCACTAATGAAGAAGAAGATTCTTCTATTATAGCTCCTATTGGTACCTCTGAGGGCAGAGGCAGAGGCAGAAGCAGAGGAAGGGGCAGAGGTAGAGGTCAAGGTAGAGGGCAGACTAGAGGCAGAACTAGTCAACCAAAAAATAATGCAGATCGGGCCGAATCTAACTCTGAAAACATGAATCAAGAGCATATACCATCACCAGAATATGTAACCAGAGATATGCTTGCTGAAGAAATGGGAAAACTAAGGGAAACTTTGACTTCCATTATGGGAAAACCTGCCAGAATCAAGACTGGCAGAGTTCAAATTAATCCAGCAGTTCCAGTTATCAATAACCGGGAAGGAGATATAAAGATGTTCTTAACCTGAAAGCCACCAACTTTCTCAGGAGACAGAGATCCAATTAAAGCCATGTGTTGGATCAAGGAGATAGAGTATGTATTCAATACTATTCGATGTGCAGAATCAGATAAAGTCAGATTTGCAGTTTCTATTTTGAAGTCAAATGCTTTGTTTTTGGTGGGAGGTAGAATCATTGGCCAAAACAGATATTCTACAAACTATGACATGGGCAGAGTTTGTGAGTAGATTCAAAGAACAATTTTGTCCCAAAACAGCAGTCAAACAAATGGAAGAAGACTTTTTAAAATTGGAACAGAGCTCTGGGTCAATCAGAGAATACACGGAGAAATTCATAGAATATTCAAGGTTTGCTGAGCATTATATATCAACAGAAGCAAGAAAAGTTGAACGATACATTTGGGGTTTAAAACCATCCATTAGGGAGTTTGTTATAGCAATGAATCCTGCTACTTTTCCAATGGCAGTAGATGCAGCAGAGATCACTGAGAGGGATAAGAATAGAAGTGAAGAAAGGAAGCAGACGGAGAAAAAAAAATGGGAAGGATCATCAGAAAGTTATCGAGGATCAAAAACTACCAAGTTTAATAATAGAGCAATGAAGAGACCGATAGAAAGAGCCTGTCCCCGGTGTCAAAAGTACCACCGAGGGGAACGTCAAGCAGAAGTCATAAAGTGTTTTAATTGTGGTGAGATTGGGCATACTTCAAATTTCTGTCGACAAAACATAAAATGTTTTCATTGTAATTTGCCAGATCATTTCAAAAACAATTGCCCACAATTGAAAGCTCCACAGCTTACGATGGGAAGCAATACATCAACTGATCATGGGAGACCAAGTGGGGTGCGGGGTCGATCTTTTCAAATGACCAAACATGAAGCAGAAACTACACCCGATGAAGTAACAGGTACATTTTTCGTGAACTCCATGCATACAAAAGTGTTATTTGACTCGGGTGCAAACTTCTCGTTTGTATCCTCATCATTTGCTTTATGTGCTCGTATGAATTCTGTGCCACTTGATGATAAATTAGTAGTTGATACTGCTAACGATCAAGTATCTATGGATTATGTGTTTAAAGACTGCATCATTGTGGTTAAGGGATGTAAGCTACCCATCAGATTATTTCCCATGCCTATGAAAGATTTTGATGTAGTAGTGGGAATGGACTGGTTGACTGAAAATCAAGCTAGCATTGTTTGCGATAAAAAGATGATTAGAATAGTATTGCCAGACAGAGGAACAGTTGTCATTTTTGGTGATCATCAGAGTCATTGCACCAGTTTGTTATCAATAATGAAAACCAGAAGATGCATGCAAAAGGGGTGTCAAGGATTTTTGGCCTATGTAATCAATGCCAAAAAGGAAAAAGAAGAATAGAGATTGATTCCAATGGTCAATGATTTTCCAGAGGTATTTCCAGAGGATTTGTCTGGTCTTCCACCAGATAGAGATATAGAATTCAGAATTGACCTCTTACTTGGGGCAATGCCTGTAGCCAAAGCAGCATACAAATTAGCCCCACCAGAGCTGAAAGATTTGGCCATCCAGTTAGAAGATCTACTTGATAAAGGCTTTATTAGACCAAGTACATCACCTTGGGGAGCCCCAGTTTTGTTTGTCAAAAAGAAAGATGGATCTATGCGAATGTGCATAGATTACCGAGAAATCAACAAATTAACGATCAAAAATAAATATCCATTACCCAGGATAGACGATCTGTTTGATCAATTATTAGGGGCTAGCTACTTTTCTAAGATTGATCGACGATCTGGATACCATCAATTAAAGGTAAGAAATGAAGACATTCCTAAGACTGCTTTCAGGACAAGGTACGGGCATCATGAATTTTTGGTTATGCCTTTTGGATTAACCAATGCACCTGCAGCCTTCATGGACTTAATGAACAGAGTATGTCGAGAATATCTAGATAAGTTTGTAATTGTGTTCATTGACGACATTCTAACTTATTCAAAGACAGAGGAAGAACATGCAGAGCACCTCCGTCTGGTCCTGAGTCTTTTAAGGAAAGAAAGGTTATATGCTAAGTTGTCAAAATGTGAGTTCCGGTTGTGAGAAGTTTAGTTTTTGGGGCACGTGATATCAGAAAAAGGGATACAAGTAGATCCAGCAAAAATTGAAGCAATTGCCAAGTAGGAAGCACCAAAATCCCCATCTGAAATCTGAAGCTTTTTGGGATTAGCAGGATATTACCGTAAGTTCGTACAGAACTTTTCAAAGATAGTTGTGCCATTAACCAAGTTAACCCGAAAGAATGTCAAGTTCCAATAGGAGACAGAGCAACATAAAGCGTTTCAGTTATTAAAGGATCATCTCTGCAGCGCTCCAATTTTATCTCTGCCTGATGGCACATAAGACTTCATAGTATACAGCGATGCATCAAAGTTGGGATTGGGCTGTGTATTGATCCAGAGGGGAAAAGTCATATGTTATGCATCTCGCCAACTAAAGGATCATGAAAAACAATACCCTACCCATGACATGGAACTAGCAGCCGTGGTCTTTGCACTAAAGATATGGAGACACTATCTTTTAGGAACTAAATGCAAAATTTTTATAGATCATAAAAGCTTACAATATTTGTTCAACCAGAGGGATCTGAATATGAGGCAGAGGTGAAGGATTGAACTTGTTAACGACTATGATTGTGAGATTCTCTACCATCCCGGAAAGGCAAACGTAGTGGTCGATGCTCTAAGCCGAAAGGAAAGAAGTGGCAACATCAGAGCAATGAAAATTTGCTTAACTCCAAACCTTCACCAAGCAATTTTGAAAAATCAAAAAGAAGTTGTTAAAGAAGAGAACAAGAAATCCGAAAGGGTGGGAAAGATGATTTCCATTTTGGAGCCAAACAAGGAAGGGATATTATGTTTTCAAGACCAAATATAGATACCAAAATATGGTAATACACGAGAAACCATCTTGCACGAAAGTCACAAGTCTCGTTATTCAATCCATCCAGGTACCAACAAAATGTTCAAAGACTTGAAAGTATTTTATTGGTGGCCGGGATTAAAGAAAGATATAGCGGCATATATGGAACAATGTCTAACTTGTTTACAAGTCAAGATTGAGCATCAGAGACCTTATGGAAACCTGCAATCATTAGAGATACCAGTCTGGAAATGGGATCACATTACAATGGACTTCATCATGAAGTTACCCCGAACACCAAAAGGATATGATGCAATTTGGATATAGTGGATCGTCTATCAAAGTCTGCACATTTCCTACCAAAGAAAGAAACTTATTCATTGGAAAGATTGGCTCAAATTTACATCAAGAAAATTGTGACTAGACATGGTGTTCCATTATCCATTATTTCTGATCGTGACAGTCGTTTTAATACCAAATTCTGGGAAAGTCTACAAAGAGCTTTGAGATCTCAAATCAGATTAAGTACAGCTTATCACCTACAAACTGATGGACAAAGTGAAAGAACCATCCAGACTCTTGAAGACATGTTGAGAACTTGTATCATCGACTTTGGGGGATCATGGGATAAACATTTACCACTAATAGAATTTGCCTACAATAACAGTTATCACTCCAGCATTCAAGCGGCACCTTATGAAGTCTTGTATGGAAGAAAATGTTGAACACCGTTGTGTTGGAATGAGGTAGGTGAAAAACAATTAACCGGGCCAAAAATTGTGCAAACAACATCCGAAAAGATTGAACAGATTCGAGCAAGAATTAAGACTGTCCAAGATCGACAGAAAAGCTATGCTGACAAAAGGAGAAAACCAATTGAGTTCAACATAGGTGACTTTGTAATGTTGAAGGTATCTCCATGGAAGGGTGTTATGAGATTTGGGAAGAAAGGAAAGCTCAGTCCAAGGTATATTGGACCCTTCAGAATCTGCAAATGGGTTGGACCGGTAGCCTATCAATTGGAACTACCAGAAGAACTCAGTCAGATCCACAGAACCTTTCATGTATCAAATCTACGCAAATGTTTGGCAGACCCAAATCTAGCTATACCACTTCCTGAGATCAAACTTGATGACAAGTTAAATTTCATCGAGACACCAGAGGTAGTAACTGACAGAAAGACCAAGGTCTTGAGAAATAAAGAGATTTATCTGGTAAAAGTACAGTGGCGTTTTCACAAAGGTTCAAAAGCAACATGGGAACTAGAAACTGACATAAGAACCCGATATCCTTGGTTATTTGAATGAATTCTGGGATGGAATTCTTTTAAGGGGGAGAGAATGTTATAACCAGGTTTTTCTACAAATCTCGGTTAAGTTAAAATTTATGTTTTCATTGTGTGAATTATGTGACAACATGCATAATTACGATAATACTTGCAAGGATTATATGTACATGTGTGGTAAATTGATATTATGCCTACATGTGAAAGTATTATATAAATATAAGCGGTTATGTGATAAGAGAATAATATATCTATCAAAACCCAATACTTCATGATTAAGATATGGTTGGTTTTAAATAATATTTCCACCGCCCAAAAGACTTTTATATTGGGTAAAAATTCATCACCGTCTCATTTAAAGATATAAAAGAAAGAAGATAAAATAAGAATCTTATTCATTTCCTGTTTTTACAAAAGTAAGGATTTAGAAGAAAGAAATCTAAAGGCGGTGAAAGTATTCGTGAAGGTGTTCCTAGAAAGTGTTCTTGAAGAATATTGCGGTTTAAAGATTCTGGTTATTTGCTGTGTATTATTACCTACAGAATCTACGATTTTAAGGTGAGTTTTTATTACTGCTATTTGCAAACTGTGAGTTTTGTTTATTACTGCTATTTGCAAACTGTGAGTTTTGTTTATTACTAGTTTCATATCTGCGAGTTTCACTTACTGTTTGAATTTGTGAATTGTGGAATATAGATGGTTTGAAATTTAAAAGAATCTGGTAAAACTGTTTTAAACAGTTTTAAAAGAAAATGTTTTGTGAATTGGAAGTTGGATCTGTTTTGAAAAGATTGAGCAAAAACTATGTTTGAAGAAACAATTTTGGATTAGGTACCCTGTTTTTGAGGATTTAAGCAAAAACAGATGATTGAGAAATCATATGTAGAACAGATTGTTCTTATGGTTTGAAGGGTTTGAATATAAACCTATGTTAAGAATATGGTTTGAATAAAAACTATGACTAAGGTTCACTCTGACAAAAAGGTCTGCAGCCTGTCATTGGATGAAATAGTTCATATGAATTTCAGGGGAAATAAGGATGGTCGTTGTCTGTGATAAACAGGGGAATTATGGATGTAATAAGGATGGTCGTTGTGTGTGTATGCATGGTATAACTCTTGCTATTATATCTAATAAGATTACAACAGATTGGAATTCTCACTTCTTGGTGATTTGAGGATTCAGAAATGTTGTTCTTATTAGAAATAGTATTATTGATGTTATGGTTGTGACATCCCGTCACTTCTGAGCTTCAAGTTAGCACCCCATTGCAGATCCTATATTTAGAAATTATATTTCTCTAGGATCTAGTCTTAGTGATTAGAACCTTTCTAGTATTAGCTCCCAAATTTTGTTGGGAAGGTCGCGCTTTGGTAGGAGATCAGATAAAGTTAT